AAGGTAAATGTTTAGTATTTTAGGACAGTATCAACTGCTTTCCAAATTAATTAAACCATGATGAGTGTTCCAGTTGTTCCTTATCCTCACCACTACTTGGTGTAGTCCGTCTTAAACATCAGACATTGTAACAGATATGTTGTGATGCATCATTGTAGGTATTTGGTTCAGTCCAATAATGATGTATGATGTTGAACAGCATTTTCATATTCCACTGGATGTTGACTTTGTTAAAATACTTGTTTAAATAATTTTTCTACTCAATGAACAGAAATTCTTAATTTTGATTAAGCTCAATTTACCAATTTATATAATTTTTAAAGATTTATTTATTTTACTTTAATGTCAGATTTACACAGAGAGAGAAGGAGAGGCAGAAAGAGAGAGGTCTTTCATCCGCAGGTTCACTCCCCAATTGGCCACAACGGCTGAGCTGCACCCATCTGAAGCCGGGAGCCAGGAGCTTCCTCCGGGTCTCCCACACAGGTGCAGGGGCCCAAGGGCTTGGGCCATCTTTTACTGCTTTCTCAGGCCATAGCAGAGAGCTGGATAAGAAGTAGAGCAGCCAGGACTCAAACTGCGCCCATATGGGATGCCGGCACTGCAGACGGCAGCTTTACCCACTATGCCACAGTGCTGGCCCCTCAATTTATATTTTTGTAGATCATGTTTTTGGTATCATATATAAGGAAATTTTGCTAAATACAGGTCATAAATATTTTTCCTATATTTTCACATAAAATATTTAGTTTTAGGTTTCACATTTAGTTGTATGATCTATTTTAAGGGAATTATTATTATTTTTTTTTTTTGACAGGCAGAGTGGACAGTGAGAGAGAGAGACAGAGAGAGAAAGGTCTTCCTTTGCCGCTGGTTCACCCTCCAATGGCCGCCGCTGCAGCTGGCGCACCGCGCTGATCCGATGGCAGGAGCCAGGATCCAGGTGCTTTTCCTGGTCTCCCATGGGGTGCAGGGCCCAAGCACCTGGGCCATCCTCCACTGCACTCCCTGGCCACAGCAGAGAGCTGGCCTGGAAGAGGGGCAACCGGGACAGAATCCGGCGCCCTGACCGGGACTAGAACCCGGTGTGCCGGCGCCACAAGGTGGAGGATTAGCCTATTGAGCCACGGCGCCGGCTGGGAATTATTATTAAACCAATATTGCATTCTGGAATAAACCTCACTTGTTCCTGTATAACTTTTTGTATTTTGTATTCAATTCATTAAAATTTTCTTAAGCATTTTTTGCACGTATATTCATGGGAAGTATTGGTCTATGGTTTTCTTTTTCTATAATGTCTTGTCTAGTTTTTGTTATCAGGTTGATGCTGGTCTCCCAGAATCCATTGGGAAATATTCCCTCTTCTATTCTCTGGACAAAATTGGATATATGTTCTATGTCTTTTCATGTTCAATCCTCCTGTCTTTCTGAATATAAAAAATTCAATTGAAATAGCTGTTTTTTATTATTTTTTATTTTTAAAGAATTATTTTGTTTTTTTGAAAGGCAGAGTTATAGAGAGAGGTAGAGACACACAGAGAGAGGTTTTGCATCCACTGGTTCACTCCCCAGTTCACTGCAATGGCCAGAGCTGCGCCAATTTGAAACCAGGAGCCAGGAGCTTCTTCCAGGTCTCCCCAACGGGTACAAGGGCCCAAGGACTTGGGCCATCTTCTGCTGCTTTCTCAGGCTGTAGCAGAGAGCTGGATGGGAAGAGAAGCAGCTGGGACTAGAACCAGCACGCATATGGGATGCCAGCACTTCAGGCCAGCTCTTTAACCCGCTGTGCCACAGTGCTGACCAAAATAGCTGTTTTAATATCCTGTCTAATAAATATATATTTTTTGTTAGATTTGTTTTACTTTTATTTAATAAATATAAATTTCCGAAGTACAGTTTATGGCTTACAATGGCTCCCCCCCCCCATAGCTTCCCTCCCACCCACAACCCTCTCATTCCTGTTCCCTCTCCCATTCCATTCACATCAAGATTCATTTTCAATTCTCTTTATATACAGAAGATCAATTTAGTATATACTAAGTACAGATTTCAACAGTTTGCACCCACACCGAAACACAAAGTGTAAAGTACTAATTGAGTACTAGTTATACCATTAATTCACATAGTACAACACATCAAGGACAGAGATCCTACATGGGGAGTAAGCGCACAGGGACTCCTGTTGTTGATTTAACAATTAACACTCTTGTTTATGGCGTCAGTAATCACCCAAGGCTCCTGTCATGAGTTGCCAAGGCCATGGATGCCTTTAGAATTCGCCAACTCCGATCTTATTTACAAGGTCATAGTCAAAGTGGAAGTTCTCTCCTCCCTTCAAAGAAAGGTACCTCCTTCCTTGCTGGCCCGTTCTTTCCGCTGGGATCTCCCTCACAGAGGTCTTTCATTTAGGTCTTTTTTTTTTTTTTTTTTGCCAGAGTGTCTTGGCTTTGGCTTTCCATGCCTGAAATATTCTCATGGGCTTTTTAACCGGATCCAAATGCCTTAAGCGCTGATTCTGAGGCCAAAGTGCTGTTTAGGACATCTGCCAGTCTATGAGTCTGCTTGAGTCTACTGTGTATCCCGCTTCCCATGTTGGATTGTTCTCTCTCTCTCTCTCTCTCTCTTTTTTTTTTAATTTTTTTGACAGGCAGAGTGGACAGTGAGAGAGAGAGACAGAGAGAAAGGTCTTCCTTTGCCGTTGGTTCACCCTCCAATGGCCACCACAGCTAGTGTGCTGTGGCCTGCACACTGCGCTGATCCGATGGCAGAAGCCAGGTACTTATCCTGGTCTCCCATGGGGTGCAGGGCCCAAGGACTTGGGCCATCCTCCACTGCACTCCCTGGCCACAGCAGAGAGCTGCCTGGAAGAGGGGCAACCGGGACAGAATCCGGCGCCCTGACCGGGATTAGAACCCAGTGTGCTGGCGCCGCAAGGCGGGGGATTAGCCTAGTGAGCCACGGTGCCGGCCGGTTTTCTCCTTTTTAATTCTATCAGTTAGTATTAGCAGATACTAGTCCTGTTTATGTAATCCCTTTGACTCTTAGTCCCATCATTATGATCACTTGTTAACAGAAATTGATCACTTGGACTAGTTAGATGGCATTGGTACATGCCACCTTGATGGGATTGAATTGGAATCCCCTGGCACGTTTCTAACTCTACCATTTGGGGCAAGTCCGATTGAGCATGTCCCAAACTGTACATCTCCTCCCTCTCTTATTCCCACTTTTATATTTAACAGGGATCACTTTTCAGTTAAATTTAAATACCTAAGACTAATTTGTGTTAATTAAATAGTTCAACTAATAGTATTAAGTAGAACAAAAAAAAATACTAAAAGGGATAAAGTATTAAGTTGTTCCTTGACAGTCAAGACAAGGGCTGATCAAGTCATTGTTTCTCATAGTGTCCATTTCCCTTCAACAGGTTTCCTTTTTGGTGCTCAGTTAGTTGTCACCAATCAGGGAGAACTTATGATATTTGTCCCTTTGGGACTGGCTTAATTCACTCAGCATGATGTGTTCCAGATTCCTCCATTTTGTTGCAGATGACCGGATTTTATTTTTTTACTGCTGTGTAGTATTCTATAGAGTACATATCCCATAATTTCTTTATCCAGTCTTCTGTTGATGGGCATTTAGGTTGATTCCAGATCTTAGCTGTTGTGAATTGAGCTGCAATAAACGTTGAGGTGCAGACAGCTCTTTTATTTGGAATATATAATCTTTGTTATTTCTGAATCAGTTACAACTGAAGAACTTTTCACTTTATTATAACCAGACTGAACGAACTGGTCCAGCTCTGGCTCCTTGTTTTATGATTTGGCACTCTCATTGTCACTGCAAGTGATGCTTGGTATGTCTTCAATGTGCACCATTAATTCTGCTCTAGAAACCCTGTTACCCATTCTACATTCAGTCCTACATCAAACAGACTTGCTGTGGGCTTGTCTTTTCCTTCTTAGAGCTCTTCTGCCTGAGTTTATATTAATTATACTTCACTTATCCATTCAGGTGTCTACAAACTTGGTACTCAGTGGCCATGGTTTGACTGGATTTTAACTGACAGGCAAGGTAGAGCTGTAGCTGAGTCTACTTTTGGGTTATAGAGTCTGACTCCTTGGGTATGCATTCCTGCCCTACTTCTTAATAGGCATGACCTTGAGCAAATGATTGACTGCCCTGAACTTCAATTCCCTCATATACAAAAATAACAATGCCTATAATAATGACATAATAATGATCAGGTTGTTGTAAGGACTAAATATGATGTGATATAAAGAAATTAGTGTATGGGTCAGAATTTTTGTTGTGAAACTAAGAGGTGGAGGTAAAGTCAGAATATGTGTGTATACATACACACACACACACACACACATATCTGGGAATCTGACTCTGCAGATCACATTCCTAATCATTATGTTACATTGTCTTATCTATTGGGCAGTCCACTTTGCATGTTAGAGAAATTTGCCCTTCTTTATTTATGGTTAGGCTGATTTCTCTGATGCCTAAGTATCCTAATTCTGATTTCAGCCCTAAGCACATCCTACTGCCTATCTATCCAGAAGTAGTTGAATAATGGTTTTCTAAGTTCTGAAGTACAGTGTACAATAGGACTTGTTTTTAATCAACATTAGATGCAATCAAAAGATAAATGAACAACACCTGATGCCTCCTGGGGTTACACAGAAGCAGGAAGTTGAATTGGAAGTGGATCTTGGACTCAAACCCAGGCAATCTGATATGAGACCCATCACTGTTTCTATTGATATATCCGCCCCCCCCCCCCCGCCCCATACATTGGGTAGCAAGTAAATTGACTGTCTTAAGGGAGGCTTTAGCTGCTGAGGTAGTAGTGATCATCATGGCAGAATCCTTGGTAAATTGTGGACTGTCTTCCTGCCAGGCTATATGGAAAGTATTCGTTTTATTTCAAACCTACAGTTGTTTCTATGTGGAATAAAGCTGTTAATCTCTACGTTACATTTTCCTTACAGACGTAAAGGAGATGAATCTCAGAAGTGGGTGTTCGGAGCTGATGGTTGCATTTACTCTAAGGTGAGGACTTTAGAAACCACTGCTTTTATTCTTAAGTTTTTCTATTCCCATATTGTTATAAAATGCACTATTACTAAGCAAAAGAAAAGCTTTTTCTGTGAAAATAACTTCACCCCACATTTAGAACTTTGGAGTTTAACTTAATTGCGTTCCTTCGGAGGTTTGTATGATTTTTCTGAAAGATTTATTTATTTGTTTATTTATTTTTATTTATTTATTGGAAAGGCAGTTGCAGAGAGAGGGGGACAAACTGGGAAGTGGGGAGTAGAGATCTTCCATCTGATGGTTCACTCCTCAAATGACCCCAATGGCTGGGGTGGACCAGGACTAAGCCAGGAGCCTGGAACTCCATCTGGGTCTCCCATGTGGGTGACAGGGACCTAATCACTAGGACCATCTTCCACTGCTTTCCTGTGTGCACTAGCAGGAAGCTGGATCAGAAGTGGAGCAGCTGAGACTCTAATTAGCACTCATATGGGAAGCAAGTGTTGCAGGTAGTGGGTTAACCCCCTGTGCCACAACTCTGCCACCCCTTTTAAAAATATGTATTTATTTATTTGAAATTCAGAGTTTCAGAGAGAAAAGGAAAGACAGAAAAAGAGAAAAAAAGTTTTGTTTGATTTTAAAACACAAATTTTCCAAAGCCAAAAACATGTTTCCCTGATTCAGTGCTATAATATAATCCAGAATTTCTTTTTTTAAAAAAAGATTTATTGGCCGGCGCTGCGGCTCACTAGGCTAATCCTCCGCCTGCGGTGCCGGCACCCAGGGTTCTAGTACCAGTCGGGGCACCGGATTCTGTCCTGGTTGCTCCTTTTCCAGTCTAGCTCTCTGCTGTGGCCTGGGAGTGCAGGGGAGTATGGCCCAAGTGCTTGGGCCCTGTACCCGCATGGGAGACCAGGAGGAAGCACCTGGCTCCTGGCTTCAGATCGGCGCAGCACCAGCCGTGGTGACCATTTGGGGGATGAACCAATGGAAGGAAGACCTTTCTCTCTGTCTCTCTCTCTCTCACTGTCTAACTCTGCCTGTCAAAAAAAAACAAAAAAACAAAACAAACAAAAAGATTTATTTATTTTACTTGAAAGTCACAGTTACACACACAGAGAGGAGAGGCAGAGAAAGAGAGAGAGAGAGAGAGAGAGAGAGAGGTCCTCCATCCACTGGTTCACTTCCCAATTGGCCACAACAGCTGGAGCCGGGCAGATCCGAAGTGAGGAGCCAGGAGCTTCCTCTAGGTTTCCCGCGTGAGTGCAGGGACCCAAGCATTTGGACCATCTTCCACTCTTTTCCAGGCCATAGCAGAGAGCTGGATCAGAAATGGAGCAGTCGGGTCTCCAACTGGCACCCATATGGGATGCTGGCACTGCAGGCAGTGGCTTTACCTGTTACACCACAGCGCCTGCCCCAACCCAGCATTTCAAGATATCAGTTTTCTTATTTGTTAACATCAGGAGGAATAGTTTGGGAAACCTAGCAATATCTCCTAAAGCTGAGCATGTCTATATAGCCTAGCAATTCCTCTACTGTTTCTATGCTCAATAGAAATTCTTATATATAAATGTATATTGAAGTAAAGATATTTACTAAAATGTTAATTGTAGTACCACTAATTTTAATAGAATCAGAATGAGAATTATTCAAATACTTGTCAGAATTAGGAGGGATAAAGGAATTGTGATTTGTATATTTGTTGGAGTACTAACTGGCAGGATTGTCAGACTTCTATAAACAGCCAGATATAAATCTGGGCTTTGTGGGCCAAGTGATCTTTATCTCAACTTCTCAACCTTGCTTTTGTGGCATAAAAGCAGCCCTAGACAATATGTAGACAGATGTGACCATCATTCAACAAAATTCTATTTACAGAAGCAGGTTGTCCATATTTGCCCTGCAGATTGTAGTTTTCCAATTCTGTGACGTGTCAGTGCCAGCGAATGAACTATAAGTGTACATAACAATGTACATCTGTTCACAAATGTAATGGTGAACTAAGAAACCAAATCCAAAAAATATTCACTGTCTTATTCCAGGTAAGTTGGAGACTGAGCAAAACAATGACTCTGTTGTGTTACAAGTTAAGGGAGTGATTATGCCTGAGGGCAATAGCGACTGAAAAAGGGACTAGGGAGTGCTTCTGGTGTGCTGTGGTGTGTTCTGTTTCTTGACCTGGGTGGTTAGCTAACCAAGCATTCAATGTATGCAAATGGATTGAAGTGTACATTTACAAATGAGATACTCTTCTGTATGTATATTACATTTACATTAAATGCTTATTTTAATAAGGTGAGGATGTTGGGCTGGTGCTGTGGCATAGCGGGTAAAGCCACTGCCTGCAGTGCCGGCATCCCGTATGGGCGCTGGTTCGAGTCCCGGCTGCTCCACTTCTGATCCAGCTCTGCTATGGCCTGGGAAAGCAGTGGAAGATGGCTCGAGCCCTTGGGCCTTTGTACCCTCGTGGTACACCGGGAAGAAGCTCCTGGCTTAGGATCGGCACAGCTCTGGCCAATGTGGCCATCTAGGGGAGTGAACCAGCGGATGGAAGACCTATCTCTCTCTCTCTCTCTCTCACTCTCTTTCTCTCTGTGTATAACTCTTTCAAGTAAATAAATAAATATTTAAAAAAAAATAAAATGAGGATGTTGACCTTGAGTTTTCATGATTTCTTCCCTGCTCTATGATTCCAAGCCTAAATGATGTTAATCAGTTGTCAATATTTAAGATAGTCAAAAGTTAGATTATTTAATGGTATGATAATGTGGGCTTTCAAAACGATTATTTATCAGAAATGTTAAGTTACATAGATAATTGAAAACACTTGCCTTATTGGTTTCCCAGGGCTACCATAACACAGTGCCATGAACTGGGTAACTTAAAACAACAGCAAGTTACTTTCTCAGAGTTCTGGAAGCTCAGAGTCTGAAATGAAAATGTTGTCCATTCATATCCTCAGCAGGGCTCTTCCCTGCTTTTTTCATCTTCTGGAAGTCTCTTGGTTGTGACAGCATTGCTGTAATCTCTGCCTTCATCTTTACATGGCTGTCTCCCTTTCTGGGTGTGTATCTTTCATGGCATTTTCTTTTCTGTATGTGTCTGCATCCACATTTGCCTCTCTTTATAAGGACACCAGTAATATTGGATTAGGACCCTTTTGAAAAAATTTTTGAAAGATTTTACTTATTTGCTAGAGTTACAGAGGAGGTGGTCTTCTGTCTGCTGGTTCACTTCCCATTTGGCTGCAATGGCCAGGGCTGAGCCAGGCCATAGCCAGGTCTGGAGCTTCTTCCAGGTCTCTTACATGGGTGGCAGGAGCCCAAGCACATGGGGCTATTCTCCGTTGTTTTTCCTGGTGCATTAGCAGGGAGTTGGATTGGAAGTAAAGCAGCTAGAACTTGAACCAGCACCCTTATGGGATAGGACGCCGAAGCACTGGCCTCAGGACTGGCCTCAGGACCTTTTTCAATGACTTAATAATGAATTGATTACATCCGCCAAGGCTCTGTTTCCAAATAAGATCACATTCACAGGTAACAAGGATGAAGGCTGCAACATAACTTTTTTTCCTTTTAAGACACAATTCAACCAATTACACACAGAGTGTTGGTTACCAGTGTATAGCCTCTCAGTTTCAGGACTATCCTTCATTGTCCAGCGCCTGCCTTGGGCACCTTTTCCATTTAACAATCTGGAAGATGGGACTTGGAATGTTTTCACCACAAAGAATTGTTACATGTCTAAGGATATGGATATATTTACTCTGATTGGACATCACACAATATATAAATGTATCAAAACATCACATGGTACCATATAAGTATGTATAATTTTATGTCTTTAAATTTTTTAGATAAAAATGTAAAAAAAAGTCCACAATTAATTTTTTGATTGTCACCCATTGATCAAGTCAACAAAATTCCATTTACCAAGCTTTCACCTGAATCTTTTTTCTCTCTGATATTCCTTCTTTCTTTCTTTCTTTGCTGTTGAATCTTTTACATTGAAAAGTTGATTCTATTGATTCCTATCTATGTATAACCTAGTACCCTGTTTCTATTGCACAGTAGGATGACTATAGATAATGTTAATATATTGTTTGTTTTGTTCTGCAAAAACAAAAAAGCCTAGAAGTTAGGATTTGGATGTTTTCTTTTTTTTTTTTTTTTTTTTTTTTTTTGACAGGCAGAGTGGACAGTGAGAGAGAGAGACAGAGAGAAAGGTCTTCCTTTGCCGTTGGTTCACCCTCCAATGGCCGCCGTGGCCGGCGCACCGCGCTGATCCAATGGCAGGAGCCAGGAGCCAGGTGCTTTTCCTGATCTCCCATGGGGTGCAGGGCCCAAGCACCTGGGCCATCCTCCACTGCACTCCCTGGCCACAGCAGATAGCTGGCCTGGAAGAGGGGCAACCGGGACAGAATCTGGCACCCCGACCGGGACTAGAACCCGGTGTGCCGGCGCCGCTAGGCGGAGGATTAGCCTAGTGAGCCGCGGCGCCGGCCGGATTTGGATGTTTTCAGTATAAAGAAATGCTAAATGTTTGAAGAAATAAGTATGTTTTCCCTTTTGGGATATTACACAAATACGTACATATATGCCAAATATTACATATCTTATAAATATGTACAATTTTCCTGAAAGTGCATCCTTTACCACAATTTAATTTTTAAAAACTTTATTCTCGCCGGCGCTGCGGCTCACTAGGCTAATCCTCCGCCTAGCGGCGCCGGCACACCGGGTTCTAGTCCCGGTTGGGGCGCCGGATTCTGTCCCGGTTGCCCCTCTTCCAGGCCAGCTATCTGCTGTGGCCAGGGAGTGCAGTGGAGGATGGCCCAGGTGCTTGGGCCCTGCACCCCATGGGAGATCAGGAAAAGCACCTGGCTCCTGGCTCCTGCCATCGGATCAGCACGGTGCGCTGGCCACGGCGGCCATTGGAGGGTGAGCCAACAGCAAAAGGAAGACCTTTCTCTCTGTCTCTCTTTCTCACTGTCCACTCTGCCTGTCAAAAAAAAAAAAAAAAAAAAAAAAAAAAAAAAACCAACTTTATTCTCCCTGAAAGACACTTTGTACCTCGTGACTATTTTCCACATACTATCTGCCACCCAGCCCTATTTTTAGTTACAGATTTGCTTATTCTGTTTCATATAAATGAAATCATATAATAGGTGGTCTATTAGGAATAGTTTATTCCCATTAGTGTAATGCTTTCCAAGTTCATCCATATTGTAGCTTGCAATAATAATTCATTTCTTCTTGTTGCCAAATATATTCCATTGTTTAAAAATATCACATTTATCTGTTTACTTATTGGTTGAAAAACATTTTGTTTCTCCTATTTCAGCTATTGCGGATATTGCTGTTATGAACAAATTTGTATAGAAGTTTGTATTGGTATAGAAGTCTATTTCTCAATGTTATGTAGATAGCAGTATAATTTCTGGGTCATAGGATAACTCCAGATTTAACATTTAGCACATAGCCAGATAGTTCTCTGAAGAGCACCTCTCCATTTTACTTTCTCACCATCAGCATATATGGTTTCCAGCTTCTCCACATCTTTGCTAATTTTGTTACTCTCTGTTATTTTGATTATAGTCATCCTTGTGGGTTTTAAATGTTAACTCATTAAGGTTTTGACTTGTATTTTCCTAATGATTAGTGGTGTAGAACATTTTTTCTTGCACGTTTTTTGTCTACCTGTATATCTTGTTTGGTTAAGTGTCCACTCAAATTCTTTGTTCATGTTTTTTTTTTTTTTTTTTTTTTTTTTTTTTTGACAGGCAGAGTGGACAGTGAGAGAGAGAGAGACAGAGAGAAAGGTCTTCCTTTGCCATTGGTTCACCCCCCAAATGGCTGCTGCAGCCAGCGCTGCGACCGCTGCACCGCGCTGATCCGAAGCCAGGAGCCAGGTGCTTCTCCTGGTCTCCCATGGGGTGCAGGGCCCAAGCACTTGGGCCATCCTCCACTCCACTCCCGGGCCATAGCAGAGAGCTGGCCTGGAAGAGGGGCAACAGGGACAGAATCCGGCGCCCCAACTGGGACTAGAACCCTGGGTGCTGGCGCCACAGGCGGAGCATTAGCCTAGTGAGCAGCAGTGCTGGCCCAAAATGTTCATGTTTTAATTGGATTATTTGCCTTGTTCTTTTTGAGTATAAGAGTTCTTTATGTATCCTGGATATGCATCTATTATCAGCCCTAGAGATGCAAATATCTTCTCTCATTTCTTAAGTTAGCTTTTTACTTTTTTGATGGCATTGTTTGCAGCACAAAATTTTTCATTTTGATGTAGTTTTCTTTTGTCACTTGTGCCTTGGATAGAGTTTCTTAGATTTTTTTTTAAGTTTTAGATTCACAGCAAAATTGAACTTAGAGTCAGTTCCCCTATCCCTCCTGGTTTGCCCCCTCATCCTCCCAATCACATAATTCTCACCATTAACAATTGATGAGACTACATTATCACATCATTATCATCCTAAGTCCATGGCTTACATTTAGGTTCACTTTTTTTTAAAGATTTATTTATTTGCTTGAAGGTCAGAGTTACACAGAAAGAGAAGGAGAGGCAGAGAGAGAGAGAAAGAGAGGTCTTTCATCCACTGGTTCACTCCCCATTTGGCCGCAACAGTTGGAGCTGCGCCAATACAAAGCCAGGAGCCAGGAGCTTCTTCCAGGTCTCCCACTTGGATACAGGGGCCCAAGGACTTGGACTATCTTCTACTACTTTCCCTGGCTATAGCAGAGAGCTGGATTGTAAGTGGAGCAGCCAGGTCTCAAACCGGTACCCATATAGGATGCTGGCTCTAGAGGCGGCAGCTTTACCTACTACGCCACAGTGCCTACCCCTAAGTTCACTCTTGGGTTGGGTATTCTACAGGTTTGCCTGGCAAATACTGATCATTTCATTGTTACCATAGTTTTATCTTTTCTAGAATGCCATATAGTTGGAATCATATAATATGTAGCCTTTTCAGATTGACTTCTTATTATGCAAATAAGGTTCTGGAGTGCCTTACATTTTGAATATGCACACGTAAATATTTTCTAACAGTGCTTAAAGTTATCTAAGGGTTTTGGGTGCTCTTTGGTTATCCATGGAATAATCCCTTATACTTTTTGCTAGAACAGTAGTTCCACACCATAAAAAGTACTGCAAGGGCTTTATGTCAAAACTGAGGGAGTTATCTAGGCATGTGGACATGATGACAAAGGGCATGTTGTTTAATTTCTCTGAATCTGTTTCCTCTTCTTGAAAATGGGCATAATAATAGTACCTATTTCAAAGGGCTGTTGCAAGATTTGAAATGTAAATATATTTCCTGTGGGAAATTGATGCAATGGTAGCCTCTAGATATACTATTAAATTAGCTGTCCTAGAGCTCACAAAGCAGAAAGGTGCATAGACCAAATTAAAAAGCTAGATTAGGGTGGGTGTTTGGTTAAGCTGCCAATTATGGTCCTGTGACCCAAATCAGAGTGCCTGGGTTCAGTTCCTAGCACCAGCTCCTGATTCCAGGTTCCTGCTAATGCAAACCCTGAGAGGCAATGATGATGACTCAAGTATTTGGAATCCTGCCACCAATGTGGGAATCCTGGATTGAGTCCCTGGCTCCCACTTCAGCCCAGCTCAGTCTCTATTGTGTTCATTTAGGGAGTGAAACAGTGTAAGGGAGTTCAATTTCTCTTTCGCTCTCAAATAAATTTATTTATGTATTTATATATTTATTATTTTTGAAGATTTATTCATGCAAAGTCTCACACACACACACACACACACACACACACACACATCTTCACCAGAGCTGGGTCAGGCTGAAGTTAGGAGCCAAGAACTTCATTTGGGTTTTCCACATGAGTTACAAGAATCCCGGTATCCGGGCCACCATCCACTACCTCCTAAGTGCATTAGTAGGAAGCTAGTTTGGAAATGCAGAGTAGTGGAAACTCTAGCCAGGCACTCCTAAATAGGATATAGGCATCCCAAGTGATAGTTTAACTCATTGTGTCACAACACTCATTTCTCAAATAAATTTTAAGAAATAATTTGAAGAAAATGAAATGTTCATAGTATGATTTATTAAACAAATTAAAAACACAAAGTAAAATATGTGGGAGGAGAGATGGGTAGTGTTAACACATTCAAGATAAGGCAGCAATGGGTTGAATAGCCATATCACCTGAGTGTTGTTCCACAAAATTTACATTCTTTCTGTGCTTTGTCATGCTTCCCAGCTGATGATCTGATTATAAGGATGGGCATTGAAATTTGGGGCCCAACAGACACAAGGTGCCTAAGGCAGAGATGCATACTTGCTCCATGAGAGCTAGGATGCAAGTTCATTTGGTCAAGATCCATGTTCCTCACTTAGAATAATGAGCAGTAATGTTTGTTTGTTTGTTTGTTTGTTTTGACAGGCAGAGTTAGACAGAGAGAAAGAGACTGAGAGAAAGGTCTTCCTTCCGTTGGTTCATCCCACAAATGGCCACTACGGCCCGCTGATCCGAAGCCAGGAGCCAGGTGCTTCCTCCTGGTCTCCCATGCGGTACAGGGCCCAAGCACTTGGTCCATCCTCCACTGCACTCCCTGGCCACAGCAGAGAGCTGGACTGGAAGAGGAGCAACTGGGGCAGAATCCGGCGCCCCAACCGGGATTAGAACCCAGGGGTGCCGGCGCTTCAGGCTGAGGATTAGCCTAGTGAGCTGCGGCATCCGCCAGTAATGGGTTTTTATGATAGTTTTTTTTTTTAAATAACCCTTTTATTTCAGAATAGCACCCGCATGGGAGACCAGGAAGTAGCACCTGGCTCCTGGCTTCAGATCAGTGCAGCACTGGCCGTAGCGGCCATTTGGAGAGTGAACCAACAGAAGGAAGACCTTTCTATCTCTCTCTCTCACTGTCTATAACTACCTGTCAAATAAAAAAAATTTAAAAATAACCTTTTTTATTTCAGAATAGCCTTAAATTTACAAAACAAAAATTGTGTAGTATGAAAAGTTCTCTTTTACCCCATATTCAATTTCTTCTATTACTAACATCTTGTCTTAGTATGCTATCTTTGTCATAATTAATGAGCACACCCATTTATCTAGCAGAGTATCTCAAGTGATAGAATGGTGGCTAATTAAAGACCTCATGACTATTGTGTGCCTCATATGTCTCATTTATATTTGGCATATCATAAATATTTGTTTCCATGAATGTTATTTAGTAGCTAATTATGAATTGTAAGTCTATTTTGTCGTTCTGTCCCATTCTATCTATGTTCACGGGCATATGCTTGATGACTCTGTCTGACAATCCTCAGACCACTGTCTTAATGCTTAATGCAGCTCATCCATTTGATCATCATTTGATTTCTTGTCTTTTGGAGTAAAACTGAACAATACCAAGCAATTTAGCAATTATATGATACATATGTGTATTTTGTTTACAGTAGTACCTCATATGTAGAAATAATTTTAACATTTTAATTTTACCAGTCTAAAGGAGAAGATTAGCTATCTGCCTAAACTTGATGATGTTAAACAGTTATTTTAATATCAAAGTAATTTGGTATGATTGTGATCTGAAATTGACAGTCAAATGCAAAGTTGATCTGTTTACTGTTTCAGTTGGATGGATTTTTGACTTTTGCTTCTAAGGCTGGTACTACTTTTTATTGATTTTTATTTTATTGCAGGCTCTTCCTCAATTTGTTCTGACCCACCTAGAGGAGCTAAACGCACGAGTGCATGTGGCCCAGACGGAGTATCACAGTCACCATGGCACCAGGACCACAGCTCATCAGGAACGTGGCAGAAACTTAGCAGAAGAGGTCAGTGTAGTGAGCCAGAGCCAAGGCAGAAATATCTCTCTAAAGTTTATTTTGAAAAGAGAAATATTGTTCCAGTTACTTACAGGAAACAAGCACAAAATCATATCTCAACTTTGCTAATTGTTCAACATGATACACATAACTTCTATATACACACACTTACACTTAGGTAAGTGATTACATACTTCCGTAAAATTATTTTATTACGTAAATGATGATACAATAACCTTTTTTTTAGGACTGCTTTCTTTTGGTCTGGCTGCATACAATTATTTCTGTGCTATCTGAAGACCGTTTTTGGTATGCATACTTTGTAGATATTTCCACTCAGGACAAATTAGCTACATTATTCCTACATTTCATTTATTAGGTGCTGCAAGAGAATGCCAGCAACCCTGGTTTGAAGCAACTACCAGAACCCTCAGACACCCACTTCATGCCAGAAGGTTCTCTTGAGGAGACAAGGCAGCTGACAGTGGCACTGGTGAGGAAGCTGAAAGAGAAACATCCTAGGGCTGCTGCTCAGAGGTAGGGCACTGACAGAACTGAGCTCATTGCTCAATGACATTCGATGTTTTCCTTCAGTTTCATGTAAGATTGATTTCTTGAAGATTATTGAAATATCTCAAAAGCCCTTTGGCCTTTAAGCATAGTAGTTTTTGGGTCATATTTGATGAAAAGAGGTGACATTTATGTGCATTTGGCTAAGGATTGATGTATGTTATTGTTTATAACATTAATATTCTGAGATCTCACTGAAATACTCTGAAATAACATAAATAAGCTAAGTCAAAATGGAACATAAATCCAGTTACGAAAATAACATACAGTGGGCAATACTTTTTATTTTCCATACGAAGAATATTATACTTGGACCTGAGGGTAAGCACATAATTGATGGTCTTAGATAATGATAACTTAACAAATTAACACCATTTCTTATATTACAATAAAAGTGTTGTCAGTGACTTTGCTAACCAATTTAAAATCATATTTGATTAAAAAGTAGAAAATCTCTTATATTATTTGGAGACTAAAGATTATTATTATTATTTTGTTGGGTTTGAGATTATAAATCACATAATGACATTAGAAACTGTAATCTTAATCTATAGTTGCTTGAAATTATGTTGATGGAAATACTCTCAAAGAAGTAACACAGTTCTTATCACATGAACTAAAGTTTAAGGGAACTCCTAAACTTCAATATACCAACTGTAGGTAGAAATGTCACTCGCATAAAAAATTGATGAATTCTTATTTGGATTAAAAGCTACTTTATATTCTTAAATTACAGCTCCTCATCTGAGATTTCCATAGGGGGAGGACATTGATTTTTCCTGATAAAAAGCAAAAGTGAATCTTTAATTTCTTATCTCTTTCATTTGTTATATAAACCTCAGATCCTTTGTATTTGCTGTTTTGAAGATAGAACACAAGCAAAATAACCAATTTAGTACCTTACTGTATCATGGTATGAGGGTATCCTGCACAGCATGATAACTTAAGTTCCATGCCTTTCCCTTGCTACTAATTTTTAATCACAGACGAGGTTCTCAACTCTCTTAGGTTCCACCACCTGACTACTTAGCTGCAGCCACATAACCAGGCCACTCTTTGCAGGACACTCTCTATTCCCGTTACTAGAATGTAAGTCCTTTGGGGACAGTCTTCGTTTTCATCTAAAAGAGGAACTCAGGACACTGGGGCCTTGAGGAAGACACTGCTCTTTGAGGCTGTTGGACTATCTTCCTCGGCTTACATTAAAGCCATTTCTTTTGCCTTCATTTCTGGAGGATTTCTGGGGCTTGTCATCTGTCTTATCGTAGGCTTTCATCCTTATTCTAGATGCATTTTATCCTGTAAATATTATTTATGTTCTTAGATGCCTGAAGTCTAAATGGAGTTTCTGTTCTTGCCCTGTGCTGAACCTGGCTCTACTGATAACCCATTTATTTCCCCATGATTTTCCCCTTCCCTAGTTTGGAAATATTTTCATCATGGGTAAAGAGCATTGGGCAGGTTAGGGATTTGGCTACTGCATTCTGTTCTTGTATCTTCCCTGTGACAATAAAATCTGGTGACTGCACATAGAGAAAAGCGCATACAATGTTTGAAAAAGTGAGTCCTCCTCCTCCCAAAAAGGAGAGTTTTAGTTAAAGTCAGCTAACATACTACTGTCCCCTATTTGAGTTGCTAGAATTTAATAACATGTCTTTAACTCTCTGAGACTATATTAAGTCCCAAGGTTTCAATTTTGTGAATGTATTGATGGCATAATATTTATTTAAAAGTTACCAAAAGTGGCATATTTATTGTTTAATATGTTTCTATGGATGTACTGTATATAAGATGATGGGACCTAATAGGAGCTCAGTAAGTGGTAGTGGTGAAAATGTTCTGCAAACAAGTAGAAAAAAAGTTAATGGGGACTATACAGAATCCTTGCTTATTTATAGTTTCACTTACTATTGTCTCGATTACTAGATTAACACTAGCCCGAAAATCTTAAAAGAAAATCCCAGAAATAATTTGTAAGTTTTAATTACATATTTTCATAATTATTCTATTTTTATCATGCTTTATTGTTAATCTGTGTGCATAATTTGTAAATTAAGCTTTGTCAGAGGAACATAGGTATAGGAAAATCATACTCATAGTCTAAACGAGAGTCTATACTATCAGTGGTTTCAAGCATTCACTGGGTGTCTTGAAATATTTCCCCTATTAGTAAGGAGTGCAAGGATGGGGGGAGCCACTGTAAGAGTACTTCAGAAAGCTCGTGGAAATAGAATTAAAAGATATGTTTATTATGGTACAAAAATTGTTGAAGTCCATGCATAGTTTTCTCAAAATACACATTTTCCAGGAACTTTGGAAGATTGAATATATTTAGATTTGTGTTTTTTTTTGGTTAATAGTTTTGATTGGTAAATATAACTGACATTTATTTAATAAGAAATTGCCTTGGGTCTTTCTTAATGAGACTTCCTCAGAGTTTATGTCTTGGGGTTCATCGATTCTTTCTACACAACATTGTTTTTCTCCAGTAGTGAATCTGAAAAAAATCAAGAAAGCAGTCCCATCTCTAATACTTACAAAAAAACCTTGAGAATAAACTTAATATAAGAGAGTTCTACAATTCAAACTGTAACTCACTGAGGAAAGAAATTAAAGATGACACAAAGAAATGGAAAGATATCTCATGTTCATGGATTGAAATAATCAATATCATTAAAATGCTACCAAAAATGATTTATAAATTCAGTGAAATCCCTCTCAAAGTTCCAATGACATTTTTCATGAAACTAGAAAAAAACACCACTACAATATGTGTGGAACCATGAAGATCCCAGATAGCCAAAGCTGTCTTGAGCAAAAAGAACAAAGCAGGGGGCATTACGCTATCTGTTTTTTTTTGTTTTTTTTTTTTTGTTTTTTTTTTTTTTTTTTGACAGACAGAGTGGACAGTGAGAGAGAAACAGACAGAGAGAAAGGTCTTCCTTTTCTGTTGGTTCACCCCACAATGGCCGCTGTGGCTGGTGTGCTGCAGCCGGCGCACCATGCTGATCTGAAGCCAGGAGCCAGGTGCTTCTCCTGGTCTCCCATGGGGGTGCAGGGCCCAAGGACTTTGGCCATCCTCCACTGCACTCCTGGGCCACAGCAGAGAGCTGGACAGGAAGAGGAGCGACCGGGACAGAATCCAGTGCCCCGGCCGGGACTAGAACCCAGTGTGCCGGCACCGCAGGTGGATTAGCCTATTGAGCCACGGCGCCAGCCACACTATCTGTTTTTAAAATGTTACAGAGAGAGAGAGAGAGAGAGAGAGGGAGGGAGAGAGAGAGATGGATGTAGACTAATGGAACAGAAAAGAAATTCCAGAAATCAATCCATGGATCTACAAACAACTAATCTTTGACAAAGTAGCTAAAATCCATCCATGTAGCAAGCTCAGTCTCCTCAACAAATGGTGCTGGGAAAACTAGATTTCCATGTGCAGAAGTATGAAACAAGACCCCTACCTTATACCTTATATAAAAATCAACAGAAAATGGATCAAGGATCTAAATCTATGATCTGATATCATCAAATTACTTGAGGAGAATATTGAGGAACCTCTGTAAGACGTTGACACAGACAAAGACTTCTTGGAAAAGACTCCAGAAGCACAGGAAATCAAAGCCAAAATAGACAAATGGGATTATGTCAAGCTGAGAAGCTTCTGCACTGCAAAAGAAACACTAACCAAAGTGAAGAGGCAACTAACAGAATGGGAGAAAATATTTACAAACAATTAAATTGATAAAGGATTAATATCCAGAATCTACAAAGAGCTTAAGAAAATCAACAACAAAACAATCCAGTTTAGAAATGGGCAAAGGACTATGGACTTGACAGCCATTTTTCAAGAGGAAATTCATAACATATGATTAGCTCTTTGTTAAGTAAAGAGTTCAACAAATAGTATGAAGAAAAAAAAAAACTGTTCCTTGACAATCAAGTCAAGGGCAGCTCCCTTCTTGAAGTGGATCTCAGTAAAAAATGAGTGGGAATAAGAGAGGGAGGAGGAAGTTTGTCACTGTAAAGCTGCATAGTTCTGCATACATTCCTATGGACTTACTTATAAGGGTAGAGTTTAAAAACTTGTCATGGGATTCCAAATCCCATTAAGCTGGGTGTTAAAAATGTCATCTTAATTGTTAAAGTGATCATATTAGGTGTTAAAGTGAACATATAGATAGGTTTAATTGTTAAAGTAATCATATAAATAGGATCAAGTGTCTGGTAATAATAATAGAATTAAAAAGGAGAGAATGTTACAGCATAGGAAGCAGTCCACACAGCAGACTCATAGCATGAAAATCACTTTAGGTAACACTCTGACCTCAGAATCAGCCTTTAAGGCTTCCTGGTGTGGCTGAAAAGCCCGGGAGAGCATTTCAGGAATGGAAAGCCAAGACACTGTGGCAAAAATGTTCTACATGAAGGATCTGTGTGAGTTAGACTCCAGTGGAAAGAAGTGGCCATCAAAGAAGGATGTACCTTTCACTAAAGGGAGGAGAGAATTTCCACTTTGCTTATGGCCTTGTCTAAATAATGATGGAGTATGTGGACTCAGAAGGCTTCCATAGCTGATGTCAAGAGCCTCAGGTAGTCACTGACATCATACATAAGAGTGTTAATTGTTAATTAACAACAGAACTCATTGTGCACTAACTCCCCATGCAGGACCTCTGTCTTCAAAGAGTTCTATGGTGAGAGTTAACTGTAAAACTAGTTCTCAAACAGTTTTTTTTGTGTGTGTGTGTGTGTGTGTGTATGCAAATTGTTGAAATCTTTACTTAGTATAGAGTTGGTCTTCTGTGTACAAAGTTAAATGAAAATGAATCTCAATGGAGAATGGGACTGGCAAGGGATGAGGAAGAAGAACGAGGGGTGGGAGTGTGGGTGGGAAGGTGACTATGGTGGGAAGAATAACTGTGTTCCTAAAGTTGTACTTACGAAATTTGTATTCCTTAAAAAAAAAT